TGCCCCGGTGCAATCAGCAGTTCAGATTTATATATAAATTTTATATAAAATGGGAAAATATCGGTGCTATCTATGCACATGTGTGCATAAGGAAATATAGAGCACACTGAACTGTGCATATTACCTATCTGATAAAAGAAGTCCATACCAAAGTTAAAACCAAATCTATTCATCTAGTTGTTTGCATCATTTCTGAATCAGAATAAGGTTTATTGCCAGGTACATTTTCACATACGAGGAATAGTCTTGGTATATTGGTGCATATTATTACACACGAACATATACAGTGAAAAACAAATATAGATGAAAAGTGCATAAAATAATACAACAAAATGCAGAAACTTTACAGCAGCATTGAGCTTCTTTCTGCTAAGACGTAAAATAACATGTTGAGTAAGAAATGCTGGACATCAGTGTGTGGATCTTATTTCCATTGTTAGGTCATGTTTTGTTTATGTTTTTATAATGAGAACAGATTAAAGAGAAAGAGCGACTTAACAACAGCTGGATGGATCATGAGTGGCAACAGACTGAGATGCCTTACAGTCAGTAGTTACTACATTTAGTCACCCTCAGTGTAACTGATATAGCCTTTGAATACATGAGTAGAATTTGACTGAAGCAGTGAACAGCTAACCTATCTAATGTGTGTGTGTGTGTGTGTGTGTGTGCATGAACCTCGTGTGAGAGTCCTGAGGCATAAGGCAGAAAGGGGCTGGGTGTCAACCTCTGGAACTGCAACAGGCACTCGTACATCTGGAGAGACAAAACAGGAAAGGACGTCATCGCTTGGCGTCCACGCGGCGCCTCTGCAGGGCTGTGGGGTCGGGGCTGTACCTTCAGCAGGGCTCGGAGCCACGGTGCACTCAGGAGTTCTTGCAGGAGCTGAGCACCATTCATGTTTCTGAAGACAGCGTGACCAACGTCCTCCAACACACTGGACAGCATCTCACTGACACCTGCACACACACACACACAGAAATAACACAAGGAAAAACAGACATCAGCCGGTCAGTTGGTCCAACAGTCGCGCAACAATGTGTCAGGAAGCTACATTTCCAGTAACAAACGATATTAATGTGTCACACAAACCAGTATTTGGGAAAATTTCTGCAAATTATTTTCTAAAACAAACAAAAATGTCAGGGTCAAAATGTTCATGATGATGAAGTCTCTGAGAAAATGTTTCTACTTGTCAGCTGTCAGCAGTTCTTTTAGTAAATTATTATTATTTAGAGGAACAGAGACCAGGAAGCAGATACCTCTGAAACTAAAGACTGAATCTTCGTCAGCTGGATTTTATTTAAGTCTTCACACTGAAGTGCAAACACTGAATATTTTTTAAATACTCAACATTAACATGATAACTAAGCCTGTGAATATGTTAACATATAACATATAACATGTACAGTTAGCAAGTGGAGTCTCAGATGTCCCCAAATGTCCTCCTACATAAAATAAACCCTTTTGATTTTGGAAACCACATGACCTTTGCATCGGGTCACTCACTAATAAAGAGCTAAAAATATCTGCAACTTGCAACCTTGATTTTCTGCTGCCTGTTGTGTGTAATGAACGTCACAGTCTTCACCTCTCTCTGTAAAGGATTAGGCTTTAATCAAACTGTGCTGTCTCAAGGTTATGTCCTCGCAGAGACGTGTCTCATGTTTGCAGGGTCCTTTAGTGAGTGAAGTATTTCAATTGTATGCAACATTGTACTTCAACTTTAAACTGCACTACATTTGTCTGTTACTGTACAGTTTTTTCATGCCCTTCCCGTCCAGTGAAAACACTGTGTCTCCAGATGTGGTGATGTTGAGAGTGTGCAGGTGTTCCTTTATGGGCTGAGACAAACCTCCTCCTTCTTATCAGCTGGAAAATACATCATCACAAAGCTGAAAACTGTTTTTAGTGAAAATTAGCTCCAGCAGTAAAATACAACAGCCACATTAATGCAACAGGGATATTAATCCAGAAACATCAGATCTCATAGTGAAACACTGACAGCAACATTTTACTGCACTACAGTACTTTTACTTTGATACTTTGTGTACATTTTGCTGATAATACTTACATACTTTTACTGAAGTAAGGTTCTGAATGCAGTACTACTACAGTGGTAGCAAAGTATATTTACTCAAGTACTGCACTTAAGTAGAACATCGAGGTGACTGGACTATACTTGAGTATTTTCTATTTCTACTCCACCACATCTCAACATCTGTACGTTTTTCTTTACTACATTTACCAGACAACTTTACACACATGAAGAGTTTATAAAATATGACGTTTTGTTATAAATTAAACTACTCAACAGTTTATACAAGTACTGCTGAAACCATTAGTGGGTTGACAGAAAATTAATTGCCAACTTTGATCCTTTAAGTAATTTTTCATTCAAAAACATGTCAGGGTTCCAGCTTCACTAATTAATTATTTTAATATTTGAATGTTTGTTATTAATGCTGAAGTTTGGACTGTTGGTCGGGAAAAAAATGAAGGTGTGACTTTGGGCTCTGGGTAACTGTGAGGCAACAATCAACCGATTAACGGAGAAACTAATCAGCAGATTCATTCATAGTTGCAATAAATATTGCAGTCTGACACAAAATAGTTCAAAATGGGCTCCAGCTCAACAACTACAGCAGTAAAATCCTGCTTTTCCATTAATGCATGAGAAATAATAATCTGATGATATAATATTTAATAGTACAACACAGGATATTTTTCATTCTGCTTTAATACTCAAGTACATTTTCTTGATTATACTTACTACATACTTTTACTTCAGTAACATTTTCAATGCAGAACTTTTATTTGTAATAGAGTTTTTCACAGTGTCGTATTTGTACTTTTGCTTAAGAGAATGATCTGCACACTTCTTCCAGCACTGCCCCTTGTGATGTCAAGCCGGGAAGCAGTTCAGGGATTATAAATGTATTTATTATGTATTTATCTCAAATATGCTAAACGCTGAAGTGAAAAAGTCAAAGACTTTAAGCACTGAAGCCTCACCATGTTAAATGCGACGCATTGTATGGGTTAACAACAGATTCCAAGATGCAGGAGAGTAAATGTTGTTTGTAACATCGCTGCAGATGTTTGAGGCTGGAAACGTCTCCTGAGCAGAGGGTGAAGAGCTGACATGTTTGGGGCCAGACAGGATTAACATGAGGAGCCCTGAGCCCGCAGAGAGACACTAATACCATCTGAATTAGGTTTTAGATTAAATTAAATGGAAATGAAGCCCTGGTCTGGATTTAGACTCGAGTTCAGGGTTAATACTTAACTCAAGACAATAAACAAAAAGTGCAGTCAGTGACGGCTGGATGTTTTCTGATGGAAGCGTGTGTGTGTGTTTGTGTTTCTCACCATCCTCCATCGCTTGTCTCATGGTGATCGTCCAAACTCACCA